AAAAAAAAAAACAGCATGGACCCGGGCTCCTAGGTGGCCCAGCTGGTTGAGCATCTGACTTCGCTCAGGTCATGTTGTTCCTGTTCGTGGATTTGAGCCCCACTTCAGGCTTTGTGTTGATGGTGTGGAGCCTGCTTGGGATTCTCTCTCTCCTCTCTGCCCCTCCCCCACTCATGCTTTCTTGCTTTCAAAATAAATAAAACTCAAGAAAAAAAAAAAAACAACAACAACAGTGTGGACTCTAACACAAGGCTTAGGTATGCACCACCGCTGTGGTATTGCAAAGTTTCTTCTTTTAATAAAGAAAAATTTTTCAACAGAAAAATACATAAAATACACACTTCAATGAAACACTGCAGTCATTAAAAACGAAAACTGCAAAGACCTCCAAGCTCCCCAGAAATAGCACGGACAGTGCTAAAGAAAGCAGAATTTAAATGGCAATCATACTACAAAATTAGGCAAAAATGGTGACTAAACACAGGCAAACACCAGATGGGAAATATCTAGAAAAATTACACCCAGAGAATAGGAAAGGTAGAGCAGTAGTTCCAAGTCTGTTTTTATTTCAGCTTTTATGAGCATGTTATTACTTGTACAAAAATTCATCTGAGTACCATTCCTATATAAGAGCTTTGTGGATCTTACTCATATTCCCACGTTTTTACACACTATACCTAAAGAATCTGGTCCAAAGCCTAATAATCTGGCCAGCTGCTAAAAAAGAACCAGACCCAGGGCCTGGGTGACTCAGTGGGTTAAACATCTGACTCTTGATTTTGGTTCAGGGCATGATCTCGTGGTTGGTGAGTTGAAACCCACATCAGGCTCCACACTGCTGACAGTGCAGGGGGCCTGCCTGGGATTCTCTCTCTCTCCATCTCTCTCTCTCTGCCTCTGTCTCTCGAAATAAATAAATAAACTTAAAAAAAGAAAAGAAAAAGAAGAACCAGAGCAGCTGCTAATGCCCCAGCCCTTGGAGTTAAAGGGAAGAGCAAAGGAATGAGAAAACTCAAAAGTGCTCACCACCCCTCATATTTACACAATACATTATACTTAGCACGTCCTTGAGTAACTCAATGGCACTGTAAGCTGGACAAAGATTTCTATCCTCATAACATTATTTCAGTGAAAGCTGTGTCACTTGCCAAGATGGATCTCGGGAGTCCAGTGGCAAGAGTGAGGACAGAATCCAGCCTCCTGCCTGGCTGGGCTGCCCAGAGCAAATCACTCCAGTTCCCCGTATCGTTAAAATCCAGATAATACAAGCCACCTCACCGAACTTCAGTGAAGATTCAATCTGATAAAAGGCAGTGATAGTTTCCAAGGGGGGAGTGGAGGTGGGAAAGGGTGACTCCTAAGGTCTTCTCCCATCCCCAAAAACCAAGGGCCCTGAAGCCAGCTGAGTTCTGACAAAGGCAGAAGAGTCCAGGAGTTTCAGAGTGACCTTGGCACTAAACACATAGTAAGTGCTCAAAGAACATCTGATAGGACTAACCCCCGCCAGGGAGCCCTCTGTCATCAGCTGATGATTAGGAAGAAAACAAGTCATGAGCTACCTGAACACAAACCCTGGCCCCCAACTGTGAGACTCTACAATGTTTTGCACCACATACAGATGGTGCATTTAGCACTGTTAAAGACCAAGTATTCTGCGCATTAACTTCAGCTATACTTCAAATATGTTTCTGCATGGTCCTGTTTAAAAACATTCAGATAGAGAACTGATGGTTACCAGAGGGGAGATGGGTGAGGGATGGGTGAAACAGGTGAAGGGGATTAGTATACGTATCATGATGAGCGCTGAGTCATGTACAGAATTGTTGAATCACAATCCTGTACACATGAAATGAATATAACACTGTATGTTAACTATAGTGGAATTAGTATTAAAAACTTAAAAAATAAAATAAATTCAGAAACCACTGCTTTCCAAGAAGAAAAGAAAATGGTCCTACTGATATTTTCTTCTCTCTAGCCCTCCTCCACCAGCGTGTATCAGTTCCACTTTGGTGAATAAATCTAGATCTTTGGAAAAACCAAATTCTGTCTTAGAGATAAAAAATTCTAAACTGTAGGTTAGAGAAAGTGCTGAAGAGTAAAACAGAACTCTCAAGAACAGTTTAAGATGAACATGTCTAAACTATTCTATTTGAATGGCTTTATTGACCTTGTTCATTAATTTACGATCATATTCACTGTTTTAGGTCACAGAATTACCTCATGGATTTCTGCTCTTTGTACCTGACCAGATCAGAATGGCTGTGATCGCGGACATTTCTCCTCATCAATGAGAATTCCGTTCTACAGATGGGATGGTCAAAAGTACATCAAAACAAACAAACAAAAAACAAGTGGCCTTTTAAATATGGGACTATTAAAATGGTCAATTGTTATGGGGTCCTTCCAAGAAGTCACAACAATCCCTTTCTGTGAGCAGCTTCTGAAGCTCTGGGCACACATGTTGAGTCAGAGAATCCTAAGGCTACACTTTGTAGCTATGAGGTCAATACCAGAGAAATTCCTCTTTACCCCTTCCACAGCATGCATGACTAGGAGACTAGCTCCGTTTCCTTCTCCAAGAGTCCAACCTGTACCCTAGAGCAAGAAGAGAGTAAAAGGACAACACTGACATTCACAACCTCCTGGTTCTTCTGCTAGGAAGCTTCGGCAGTCCCAGCCTGCAGCTCCTGTTTGAGCTGCACTCCAGAGGGCTCTCAGGAAGGGACCACACCCTTGCCTTTACTGGGGCACTACTCCTGTCATTCAACATAAAAACATAAAGACCCAGTGATGGGCCCAATCAGGACTTCAGCCATAGGAGGTGTGGTCCCCGTCAGAGAACATCAAATCTAACCCAGGGGTGAGGTTGCCAAAAAAGCAGAAAGTAGAAGGGAGTTCAGTTTAAATCAATGTCTTAGAACATCAGGCCGTAAGCGGCTTTGCTGGAACCCCTTCCAGCTCCGCCCTTTCCAAGGGATGGAAATTATATTTACTGTGTATGTGAGACTAAAAGCCACTGCACACTGTGCTCTAATGCCACGTCAGGCAGTTCATCACACTGCTTTATTCATAAGGCTGGGGGACAGGGTAGAGCCACTCGAATTTAGTACCTTGCTGTGCCTGAAATGTTCATTAAGTGCTCTCACCTACAGTCACCTGCCCACCCTATAGAACTTCCCCACTAATTTAAAGAGACTATAATCTGCTCATGTTTAAATTATGATGAACAGGAACATTTCAACTGGAAAAATCGTCACACATCTTAGTTTGTGATGCCAATTAGGTCTTTAGGAAAGAAAAAAAAAAACCTGATCATCTTACATAAAGTAATTTGCCCTAATTGGTACATAATAGGTCAGATTATAATTTGTGGATTACCCCCACCTGGTAAATAGTTTATTTAACATTTTAGAGCTACCAAAAATCAGTCTCATTATTTGACAATAAAATGTTCACTTCCAAATGCATCTAAGTGATGGGAGTGTAGTTAGGGCAGAACAACAGGTTTCCATAATCCTATATTATCAAGATACATTTTCTGATGAAATTCACCTAGGGCCCAAGGCTCCTTCCAGAAAGGGTGAGATCCTAGAGAAAGTAAAGCCTCCTAGAAGCACAAGAGACTAATTATATCATCAAGGCCAGTGGAAAATAAAACAAAAGCAAAAAACTAACCCGATCTCAGTCCTTCTTACTCTTGAGGTCTGTCCTTTCCTTACTTTTAATACCTCCCCTCACTGGGGAAATTTAAAAATAATACCCTCTCATAAACAACATTTTTTTTCCCCTCAAATGTCTACTTGCAGGAAACCTTGCAGACATCACTAAATGGCCAAAGGGACCAACCATTAGTGGCTCTGCCTCTAATTTGCGCCAGGACTCAGGCAGGTGACAGCAGCCTGCGCTCAGGCACCACTGACTGCTCGGGCAGCCTGGGCGCTGCTGGGTCGCTTCAGTCTCCCAACGCCAAGGCCTGGGGCCCCGCCTCTCTCTCTCTCTCTCTCTCTCTCTCTCTTTCTCTCCAAGGCCCAGCACCCAGGTAAAGAGGTAAAATACCACCAGTCTAAGGTAAAGTGGAAACGGTGAGTCAAAGGCACTCACAAAACAAACAAAAAACCGTTACACAAAGCCTCCCCCAACTCTCACAAGCTGCTTCCTTCCCTTTCTAGAAGTTTTATTTTTAGTTTATTTCAAAAAAGTTGGCATTACTTACCTCTGAAAATACTAGGTATGTTCGTTACTAGAAAGGGAAAGCTCTTAAGTAAAACAGGAAACTGAAGCCACGTTCACATTCCCACCACCCAGTGAAACATTTGGGGGTACTCTCAAGTGTGTGTTAATGGAGATTTTTAAAACCTAGTTAGGACCATACTTCATAACTGGGTCCTGCTGTTTACGCTTTGTGATCTTGGGGCTTTTTGTTTTTTAACTTGGCCTCATGACGTTGCCATTTCCCCTTCCAAGTGGTTACTAATTATTCCCTGAAAACAGTTACTAAAGTTCTAGAACAAATACAAGAGCAATTCCTTGTAAATTACACCCCATTATCCGAGTTGAACAGGACCCTTACTGTTTTCTACAAAACTCACTTGCCTGAAACTTCCTTATTTCTGTGCTAATTCCCGGAGAAAGTGGGGGACGCGCACCAGAAAGCGCCCCCGCACACCCCTCTCCACCCCCGCCTGCACCTCCCTCGAAACGTGTCCACTCCTCAGGCTCGCGGCCCCAGCGGCCCGGCCTGCGACCCCCCGGGCACCCACCCGGGAGGGAGGTGAGCGCCACGCGCGGGGACGCCCACCCTCTCCAGTCCTGGCGGCACAGCGACGACCCCCTGCGCACACCTGCACGGCGCGCCCGCTCCGGCGTTCGCGGGGCTAGGCTGGCCAGATCCACAACGCGGTGGCCCAGGGCCACGTTTCCACCCCGAGGCGGGGAGGAGAGCCGAGAGCAAACGGCAGGCAGGCCGTGATGCGTCCGCGTAGCGGCGGGACCCTCACCTGTGAGCGAGACGCCAGCTCCATTCTTCCCACCCGGGCTCCAGCCTCCTGCTACCACGCGGCCGCGGGAACCTGGCTCGCCACGGGCCCGTCGCCAGCAGAACACCCGCGGCCGCGCAGCCCGCGCGCTGCGCCGGGAGCTCCGGCGGGCTCGGGGAGGGGCGCACTTGGCGCCCGGGACGGGGGAGCTCGCCGCGCCTCCCACCCGGCGCCGCCGCGCTGGGCTGCGAGGCTCGAGTCTCGGACCAAACTTTCGCGACCGGTGAACTTCGCTTCGGCCGCGGCGTGAGAGGAGGCAGCAGACGGGCGCGGCCCCAGGCGGCTGCGGGTGCGGGGGCGCCGGGCTCCCCCCTGCAGCGGCGGGAGGGAGTGGAGCCGTCCGGCCGGGTTTCGCGCGGGAGAAATGAGGGGGCAGTCCCGGCGCAGCCTCCAGCTGGCACGCCCGACTACGCGCGCCGGATATTTGCACGGCTTATTCCAGGTCCTGCCCTGGAGCACATGCCTCTGTTGCAGTCCGTGTCTCTGCTCCAGAAAAGCATTGTAGAGCTACTTCAGAGCTGGTTTTGTTTCGCTGTTGCAAAGGGGCGGGGTTCCGCCGCCTCCCCAAACATTTTCTACAGGGTTCACTTTGCAAACCAGGCATTCCGGGTTGGGGAGCTGCAAAATCCCCTGGAACTTTAGACAGCCTTTGCTACACCATTGTACACGTAGGCCTATAGCCCCACTAGAGATTTCTAGAGGTTAGAAAGCTGATTAACGAATACTGGCTGAGCAGGTAGTATGTGTCAGGCACTGTATTAGACCTGGCAACACAAGATTGCACAAAAAACAGGTCCCTGCTCTGTCGGAGCTTCGGGAGCCAGCCACGGGCATGACGACATAAATGCAGTATTCATGCAGGTAAGTGTAACAGTAATGTCACAATTAATTTGATTAATAATTTAACAATTCAAATATCATCGATAATGGTGATAATAAATTCAATTATAATGATGCAAATAAAAGTAAATGTGGAGCTATGATAGATGCCAGGAAGGAAAAGGTAAGTGGTACTACGGTGGTTTAAAACAGGGAGACTTAATTTGGCACAGGTCAGGGAAGAATTCTTAAAGTTCAGGTATGAAGAGTGAAGAATTAAGTGGGTGGAGATTGTGGAAGGCTTAAAGTAGGTATTGGGGGAGGGTGATGCATGAAGTTGTCCTCAAATCCTAGCAGGGTTGCTGGGCAGTATTGAGAACCAGTTTAGCACTGTGGTCTTGAGTTCACAGCGGAATACTCTATGCGTGAGACCTTCTGCAGCCCTTCTTGGCTGCTTGGGAATCTGACATTCATCTTTTCTTGGTTGAAGCAGGGAATGAAGTTGGTCAAACATTTGCTAAAGCTTGAGGAGAAAACATCTGGGAACTGCCCCCTTTTTCCCACTTTCATTGGTTCAGCAAACATGTCTTATGTGCTCTCCATGTTCCAGACTGTGGGGAAAGAAAGACCAATAAAATCTGGTCTGATTTTTTAAAAAAGTTTTGTTGTCTATTTATTGGATAAGTTATTCATTATAGCCACTTTCATTTTTATTATGCCCTATCTCCTTAAATCTTCTCAATATTCTTCCAGATTCTTGTTATCCACATTTTTAAATAAGGAGACAGAATCTAAGAAGATACATTAGGGGAAAGATCCCTGTCACCCTGCTAGTAAATAACAACTGCAGACTGCCAAACTGAAAACCATTCCTTATGCCTCCAATTCAGCATTCTCTCCGTTATTCTTTACCTTTTCCCTTTGGTTGCCAGGAAACTCAAGAGTGAAATTTATTCCCTTAGAACTTTTTTTTTTTTTGTATATTTGCTTTCCATGAAACAGTGATCTTATTTTCATCTGCTTCCTTTCATTGTAGGTTGTATCATATCCCTTTTGCAAAAGGGAATATAAATTTGACATAGGTCAGATTTTGCAAAGCACTTAAAGTAACCTAGTTCTTATTTGGAAAACTATAAACAACTGAGCCTTCTTGCTTTAGAGATTTGCTGTAACTAGTCCTTAAGTCTTCAGTTGTCAACCCATAAACTTTCTTCCTTTGTCTGGAAAAGCCCATGCACTTCAATAGTACTTAGTAATTGATTCTATAGTGGTGTGTTTTGTTGTCTGATTGTGGTTCCATTCTGTTCACAGTTGACCCTTGAACAACCTGGGGGTTAGGGGTGTTAAGCCCCACCACAGTCAAAAATCTATGTGTAACTTTTGACTCCCCCAAAACTTAACTACTAATAGCCTACTGTTAATACATATTTTGTATGTTATGTGTATTATACGCTGTATTCTTACAATAAAGTAAGCTACAGAAAAAGTGTTAAGAAAATTGTAGGAAGAGAAAATACACTCAGTACTGTACTGTATTTATCTTTTTTTTTTTAAATATTTTTTTCAACGTTTATTTATTTTTGGGACAGAGAGAGACAGAGCATGAACGGGGGAGGGGCAGAGAGAGAGAGAGACACAGAATCGGAAACAGGCTCCAGGCTCTGAGCCATCAGCCCAGAGCCCGATGCGGGGCTCGAACTCACGGACCGCGAGATCGTGACCTGGCTGAAGTCGGACGCCTAACCGACTGCGCCACCCAGGCGCCCCTGTACTGTATTTATCTTTAAAAATCCATGTATAAGTAAACTGTACAGTTCAAACCCACCTTTTTCAAGAGTCTACTTACTACTCATTGTTACTGATGGGATTCATAACTTGTGAGCACGGAATTTCAGCTTGGCACTGCAAGAATGAGAGTCCTTTCCCAGAAGCAATAGTATACATATTGCAACAGAGAAAAAGGAGATGCCATGTTTGTAAATTTCTTTAAGAATCTCTGTTTCCAAGCGCCTGGGTGGCTCAGTCAGTTGAGCGTCCAACTTTGGCTCAGATCATCATCTCCCAGTTCGTGGATTTGAGCCCCACGTCAGGCTCTGTGCTGACAACTCAGAGCCTAGAGCCTTCTTCAGATTCTGTCTCTATCTCTTTGTGCCCCTCCCCCATGCTCGCTCTCGCTCTCTCTCTCTCTCTCTCTCTCTCAAAATTAAGTAAACATTAAATTTAAAAATTAAAAAAAGAATCTCTCTGTCTAGAAATCTATGCTTGCTTTTTATATGTTTCCATGAGAGGATTAAAAACTTAGTCTACAGTACCTTCCACAAGGTAGGAAATCTGTGATTAAATGCCATCACACATACTTCGAATAACATGAAATAGTTGTGATTATTTATCGACCATGACCCCCAATTTTTTCTCTGTAAAAAGAGTTCAAACATTTCTCCTCTGCTCTGAAGTAGTGCCTCTGCCCGCCCCACAGAGCTCAGCTTTGGACAAATCCTCAGTGCACCCTTTATAGCCAAGAAGTGTACCAGTTTGGTATTCTGGAGAGCCCAGCAAAGAATCTACCTTTGGCAGAAAGCTGGAAGCAATGTGGGTAATATCTGAATACCGCTTAGCATTAATTTTGATCATGAATGAATGAAGTGACAGTTAAACAAGATAACGTCTCCACTTGCTCTCTATGTCTTGGGATCTTGAAACTGCCATCTCATTGAGATAAGACCTGACCTAGAAAGGAAGACAAGCCCTAAATTTGAGACCCTCAGAGATCACATTTCCAAGTTGTTACAGAATAAAAGATCTAAAATTGAGTCTCTTACAGGAGAGTCATCATCTAACTGTGACTGGGTGCCGTTCTGGAAGGTTTTCTTTAATTACAAACTGGTATTCTTTCTTCCGGACTTGGCTTGCCAAGATACTGCTGTCACAGCCAGCTTACATACATTCTGATAAAAACCATTTGAATGGCTATGGAGAAAAAGACACGAATGACCAATAATCGATGCCTTTATACGTTGCATGCAAAAAAGTACACATCAGGTGAAACTGTAATGCCCATGCTTCTACCAAAAAGTCAATGGTAATAGTGGCATCCATCACAGCAGCTAACTAAATGAACACTGACTGGGCACCAATCCCTGTGCTGAGTTCATCTTTGCAAGCATTCTCTCATTTAATCTTTCAGCTGTGACAGTTACCCATCTGTTCCTCAAACACGGTCCCGGGAAAATAAATCAAACAATGTTTTCAAAGCATTTGAGATTTCTTAAAGATGCTATATAAACTCAAAATATGATTAATGCAATCCATATTTCATAGGGTTTTTGCAAAATGTATATTATTAATTTATCCTGTGAACATATAACTATGACTAGGACTGACAAGAAATGGATGAAAATGAAAACAGATTATCCAATAACTCTTACCTTTCTAAGAACTTATGTGTTATAAAAGGAAATGGTAATGATCCATTTCTAATTAGTAGTACCAACAAAAGTACTGTGGGACGTAGTTTTTAAAGAACTAAGGTTTTTTTCACAATTATATAGACAGCATTTTAAAAATATAATTATAGGGGCGCCTGGGTGGCTCAGTTGGTTAAGCGGCCGACTTCGGCTCAGGTCATGATCTCGTGGTCTGTGAGTTCGAGCCCCGCGTCGGCTCAGGTCATGATCTCGTGGTCTGTGAGTTCGAGCCCCGCGTCGGGCTCTGTGCTGACCGCTCAGAGCCTGGAGCCTGCTTCAGATTCTGTGTCTCCCTCTCTCTGACCCTCCCCCGTTCATGCTCTGTCTCTCTCTGTGTCAAAAATAAATAAATGTTAAAAAAAGATTTAAAAAAATTTAAAAAATATATAATTATAAATATAATTAATAATATAATTATAAAATATCAACATAAAGAGTTCAGGAAAAATGTATCTGTAAAACATAACTTTTAAATTCATTCCTCAATGACTAAAAGTCTTAAGACATTTCATTAGTTTTGATATTTTGATTTTTTTTTTATTTAAAAAATTTTTATGATGTTTACGTATTTTTGAGAGAGAGACAGAGTATGAGCATGAGAGAAAGACACAGAATCTGAAGCAGGCTCCAGGCTCTGAGCTGTCAGCACAAAGCTCCATGTGGGGCTTAAAAACTCACAAACTGTGAAATCGTGACCTAAGCGGAAATCACGCACTTAACCAACTGAGCCACCCAGGTGCCCCCAGAATATTTTTTAAAACAGGGTTTTGGGGCGCCTGGGTGGTGCAGTCAGTTAAGCGTCCGACTTCAGCCAGGTCACGATCTCGCGGTCCGTGAGTTCGAGCCCCGTGTCAGGCTCTGGGCTGATGGCTCAGAGCCTGGAGCCTGTTTCCGATTCTGTGTCTCCCTCTCTCTCTGCCCCTCCCCCATTCATGCTCTGTCTC